TGGCAACTAGTGACTGGTATCCTGCCCAGTTCCTGCCATATTATTAAAATTAGTGTTGAAGGCTACATCTCGTTTCTGAGCTTCAATGTTCCTAAAACAATTCCCAGAGACTTTGTAAGGAAATATGACCAATTCATGCTGTATGGTGGCAACTAACACCCTATATGGAGCACACTGAAGTTTTTGTACTCCAGCACCAGTTCTTCTTGGGAAACTCTGTAGCAGCAAGTTTCTGCTAAAAATTGGCAGCACATATGGGGCACCAAGAAGGAAGAGACAAAAGTGGAGGAAATTAATCCTTTCCAAAGAATATTAATTATTCAGTGTCCTGATACAACACATGGGGTACCGGTCTAATGTATCATGTGTTGCTGCTCACAAACTGACACTACCCCAGAAGTCAGGCACTGTGGAAAGCACCACAAAACCAGCCAGAACATTATACAGACACAACTATCCTCCTAACTTTTTCCCACATTGCTTGGAGGATTTTAAATTGTAGACTTCAATAGTTACTAGCACGCTGAAAATCAAAGCACTTTTTCTGTGTTTCGTAACTCTCCTCTTAGAGCAGCTTTACTAGTATTTTTAAGTTCCAACTCCTGTAATTCTGAGAGCATTTTGATTTCTCCTTTTGTGTAAGACCACTTCCTCATGACAGACTTCTGAACTGGGTTTGAACTCACTGTCCAGCACAGGGGCACAGTGCAAAAACTGACCAACAATCTACAAGAAAATAAAAAGGTGTGGGGTTATTGTATGCAGAGATAGGGCTGAGGGGAGAGGAGAGCTCAGCTTTCTTTTACTGAGTATTCTGTCGCCTTTCTGCAAGGAGTAGAAAGCCCACGCAGAAAAAACATAGAAAACCTACACAGAAAACTAAACTAGCTAAGACAGAGGAGGCTGTTAAGGCAGAGCTTCAAACAAACACCACTTACTTTAAACATCAAAGAAAAAAGCTGGCAACAATACAAGCCTAACAAGTCACAGAAAACCTGGCAAAGGAAAGGTGCTCTCCTTTCCTTACAGATCCGGGTTACAGAAGCCGCGACTCCTGCAACCGCATCATTACTCAGTTCTCCATCAGGTCAGTTGCACAAAGGCTCATTAAATATTTACAGGTGACATTTTTCTGACTTGTGACGACCAGGATCAAGATAACCATCCGTTTTCTACAGCCATTCTGTTCAAATAAGTTTGAAAAGTCAACCAGCAAGAAAAGAACAAACAGCAACAGAGCCTACAGGATAACAATTGCTAGGTTTTTGACCAGCTACAAATGAAAAATCTTACCCTTGCAAAGCCATAGAAAATGGCCATAGTTAAAGAAGGTTTCTTCAACAAACTTAGAACCTCTTAAAGAGTACAGGGCAGAAACTTCAGGACTACAAACACAAAGAATGTCCAAGAGATCAATTTCTAACTACAGTAGTTGCTGGAAATTGTTCTGAAATGACAAAGTATGGTAATGAGCTGATTTTTTATCTGGAACATAAAGCAAAAAGCAGAAGAAAGAAATCTCACGCACACTAACACACATTTCCCCCAAGAGGATGTCTCCGTAGGAACCCCATGAAAGTTTATTTCTTTGTGTGTCATGGGCAAACACATTACTTGCACTACCCAGTACCTGGTTATGCACTAACAAAGCAAATTTCTTGTGTAAATAAGATCTAAATCACACTACTGTCTGGAGAAGCTCATCATTGCCAAGATAAAACAGCCACCAAGTCTTAGTTTGTACTTATAGACATGCTCAACTACTTGGCAAAAAGGCTTCCAACCACAGAAATTTCAGAGTTAAAAATAGAAGGTGTGCTTGAGAATAGTGAAGTTTCCTTCCCACAATCCTGGCATTATATTCCTTTTCTGACATGAATACTCGTGAAAGAAGAGGGATCGCCAGTACTGGAGACAGCCTACTACTAAAAACCACAGAATTGGTATGCTGACAGAAACACAAGTTCCCTTTACCAGAATATTCCTACCTCCTGAACCCAGGGACTTCTCAAAGCACTAATTCAGCTTTCTGGCCTTTGCAATTCACGGCCTCTCTGCATGGGCTTTTACCAGGCTCCCACGGGAGCTGCTAGCCTTCGCGGCAGAGCTGGCACAGGGCTCAAACCCCTACCCCCTTCATGCAGGGCACCATGCAGTCACCAGGATGCAAGTCTTTTGGCTAGGTTACAACACAAGCCAGGTACCTGCTGGATAAAAAGCTCTAGTAATTCTGTACCACTCCAAGCCCTCCATCCTTCTTAATTCATCCTGTTACTCTGCCTGCAGGAATTATGAATCGTGAAACAGAAGCAAGAGAAGATGCTTCAGCCAAAGAAATCAAGTCCCACTTCACCGAAAGAGCCCTCTTGTTACCTTCCACGTTATGTGGGGTTGGGGAATTCATGTCTGTGTTCCCAAACACAGGTCACACTGTTCTTTGCTGTGCGACACAGGCACAATGCCCACGGTGTCTTCCTCAAACCAGTGCACTACAGCCACAGAAACAAGCACAGGAGAAAAGGGTTTCCTACACGGTACACCAAACTGACAAAAATAACTGAGTGGCATTGAGCTGCATTGCAGACCAGAATAGCTCTCTCAGGGCTGTTAAGAAATGCTCCAAATACTTGGTTAAAATGCGCTGTCATTTTAAAAAAAAAAATCATCTCTATTTTTTATCTCTTCCAATCTATCTCCATCAATACATAAAATAAATTCCTTGTTAAGGTCAAACACTTCTAAATGTCCTGGTTGATGCAAGCAATCAGGGTTTGCCTAATCCAGTTTACACAAGAGGTTAACACAGACAAGCAAAAGCTGAATGCCATTTACTAAGGGACAGCGTGGAAAAATACTCATTGTCTAGTTATAAACAAAGTATTACTGTATTTAACTCAGTAAGTACCACGTCCATGCTTTAATGTTTCCTCCCAGAGCAAGTACCTAGCTGTAAAAAACCCCAACCCAGATGCTATAGGAATGCTGATTTCACACCTGATTTTCTCATAACAAAAATTACTGAGTTATAGATTAACTTTGCCCCATAGCAGCAAAGCAGACATAAGAGGTGAATGCATAACATACCTTTGCTGCTGGTTATTTTTGCTGTAACTACATCTATTGCTAATGCAGAATCATTTGTGAAAATCTACCCTAATGCAAAATTGTGACGAATGCTCAAGATACCGCATCGCTTTTCAAGCAGTGTTCTCAAAGTAGGTATGTCTTGTTTTTGTAGCAGGTCAATCTTTAAAAGTGTACAAGCAACTTTAAATAGAACAACCGGAAAAGCAAGAAAAGTTGAAGTTGTTGAGCAAATATTTTCCTTGTTGGCACCTAATCCTGTACCTTGTGCTAGCTCAGCTCAGCTCTGTCCCCATCCTGAGCCAGGGGCAGAGATTAGCACAAGCCATTCAGCAGCCGCTGAGAGGGGTTCTGGCAGTTCTGGCTGCTCCATGTGCAGCAGTGAAGGGAATCATCGCTGCCACCTCTACTCTGAGTTTGGAGTAGAAAGCCAGTTCCCAAGCTCCACAGCAGACGCTGTCATAAGCTGTGTTGAGCTCCATCACCACAGCAGAGTGCAGAAAAGGGGATAGCCACTGAATGTAGAGAGGCTTAGCACGTTCACTAGATATGAAGAAAACTTAAGACAAATCCCGGCTTTCAGCTAACAGGAAAAATTTGTGTGGATCAAACACAAACTGTATTTGGATCACAACTACAGAAGTGCACCATCACAACTTCTCCCAGAAGTACAACAGGCTCAGACTGAACAAGAAGTAGTTAGGGGAATTAAAATCCAAACTTGCTATATAAAAAAAGATACTACAATCTCCTGTGGGTAACAACCCAGTTAAGTAGCTACGCATTTCCAGTACATACACCACCTCCGTATGCCAGTGACAGGGGCACTAGTTACTACTAGTTAAAACATTAGCTTCAACAAGAAATAAATGCTGAACGGAAAGAACTGAAGAAGTTTTTGATAGTACTGACGATGCTCATAGAGAGAAGCATAAACAAGATCATCATTCTGTAGGGGGAAGAGCTGCAAAAACTATAAATAAGCATGCTCTGTACTAGGCTCAGAGAGAGACGAGATACAACACCCCACCAGCTTTGAAGGCAGAAAATTGTCGCTTCTAACATTTTTCTTTCCCTGTTCACATGACGTCGTGTTACAGTGGGAATTTCACCACTTCTCTGTGTAATAAAATGAAACACCCTTTAGCTGTGCAATTTTTTACTTACAATACTGATAATTCTCAGTCTTTCTGACAATAAAACAAAGTTAAAGAGAAACAAACGCCACTCCCACAGTAACTGAGAAACCTGGACCGGGAATGTTTTTCACACACTCCTGCAGGCCTCCCAAAAGGAACAGCCAAGGCAGTCATTCCTCCAGCTCCTCCTGATGGCAAACTATAGGCATAGCACCCTAACAAGGTACTGGGATGAGAGTATTGGTATCGTAAGAGTCATCATCTGTCAAATGCCATAATAATGAAGACCTAAGCACATGGCTAAAACAGGGTTTGGTGAAAGACAACACCTGATTTGATCAAATGCTATGATCAGTAGAGGGGGAAACCCAAATGCACAGAAGGCCTTCTCCAGGTGTGTGACAGAAAACTTCAAGCTGGGCACCAGTTGATGCCCATGGCTCTGGTTTAAATTTATTGTCTAATTGACTTAGGTAGGGAAAAATGGAGACTGACACCTATAGAACAGAGGAGGGACGTTAACAGTGAGAGGTGATTAGGCTGTCAGGCCCCGCAAGACAGAAGAGAGATTGTTAAGGCAGCCAAGCAGATAAGGTTTGAAAATGGCTGATGATGGCAAAGGGGGACTTCCATTTATACATTCATCAGCTCAAGAATTAATATAGCTGCCTGGGTTTTCTCTTAAGAGAGAACAAAATAGAAAGAAATCCAAATGATGATGAACAAAGAGAAAGCACACAGAAAAACAAAACACAACACACACAGATACCCTATAGATATCAAACATTTTATTCATTTTTTAAAGAAACTACAGCCATATACATGATTACAGGATTATGAAGCACTGTAAAACAAAAGGAATGAAATGGCCTGGGGTCCAAGCGCTAACAGCTTCACACCTTTTATTTCATACCACCATCACTCAGAAAAATTACATTATCTGAAAAGAAATAAAGAAAATTTAATCTTCAGGATTGTTTTGCCCTGTTGCAAGCCTGCACACCCACAGAGACAACCTATTTGTGTTAAAATAAGCTGCAAAGACATGTAATTCGGAACAGAACAGTTCATAAAATAAAAGTGTCTGATACACCGTTCTTGCTCAATCTCCCCAGAAAGCTGACAATTCAAGGCAACCATATACGCTATGAAACAAGAGTGCTAAACCTGATTAAAAGCTGCTGAACAGTCAAAGATACCAGAAACATTTTACAATAATGGTTTAATTCTTTGACTATGATCTCTATCAGTTACAGCTTATTTCCTTTTTATTTTACCATTTTCAGTATGCACTACCATGTCATCACCCTATGGGACTATAGGAAGCTCGTATTTCATCAAGCCTCAGTAATTTCTAAAGCATGTTGAGACTGGGGATATTGAACACAAAGAAGAAACCATTAGGATAAATACTAAGGAAAAAAAGAGACTTGTTTCTCCCCCCCAGCTATTTATAAACAGCAACCTACAGCACTGGTAGCTGAACTGCTCCTGTGAAAGTTTGATCACTATTCTTTTACAGCGGCTGCACAGCAGAAACATCCAAAATTGTGGTTGGGTTTTTTTCCTTCTCCTCTTGCCTAGTTTTTTTAGAGGTACTTGTATAACAGAAATGTTTGCTTTACTACCCAATTATTTTAGCCCTCCCTCAAAAGCCACAAGATAGTGGCTCTACCCACAGCAAAGACATACGATGCTCACACTATTTAAAAGCTCAAGGAAAAAGTTGAGTTTGCCAGTCCCCTTCTTCATTGTGTCTACCCAAAGGACAAGTCTACTCCCTGTTCATTCTGTGCTCGTCTTACCACCACTGGCTACCAGACTGAGGTCTCTCTAAATTCTCCATTGAGTTATCCCCACATAAAACATCTTTCACCAACACAGGTCCTTAAAGTTGGTGAAGCCTCCAGTCTTAGAAAGGAAGAAAAAATTCCCTGCCAAACCAGGACAAAGCTACTGAACAAACTCTGCTTTGCTTAGAAAAAGAATCTGCCTGACCTGCAGTACTACATACCAGTGGTCCTAAAACACACAAGAACTACCTGCTGCACCAACTGGTTTGTGTGAGCAAACTATGCAACAGTTTGCAACTTTATGCTCTCATTTTCTGTGTCTTCACAAGCAGTGCCAGAGGACATCTAGTGGTACAAGCCTATTCATTCTCTCAAAATCCCCAAGTGCAGATAGTGAGTGCGGATGAAGACAAACCAAGCTCTACTTCAAAGGTCCTCCACCTCCTCTCCATTTTAAAAGGGTAAGGTAGGCCTTGGTATGTTGTTCCTTACCTGCTATAATTGTTGTGGCCTGCCGCCTCACATTGTTTTTATCTGTATATTCACCATAGTCTATCTTCCCTTCAACATAGATACGAGCACTGAAAAAAATGAACATTCTGGTCAGAAAACTGTACTGCTATTTTCTCCTCTGTATCTGATTCTGAATACACAGGTTTTTGCCTCACTTGTTTGTAGCCCGTCTACTAACTTATTTTATGGCATTTATATCTTAGTATAGCTCCTGGTCACCATAATTATTACATCAATTGATTATTAAGGCACTAAATCCTGGGCCACATTTGTTATTCACTTACCCCTTCTTCACATACTGGTATGTAACATCCCTGAGGCCCGGTCTGAAGACAGAGATCCTGTGCCACGTTGTCTTCTGACTGATATCACCTAAAATACATAAAAATAACAAAGTTGGATGCCAAATCCTCTTTTTGACGCAAGCCTCAGAAATTGCTTTCAACACGTTGGTGTTCTCAAATTATGAAAAGTACATTGCTCATTGCAGACTCACCTCCCTGTGTTACCTCACTTTCCCCTGTTCGCCACATCTCGTTGGTTGCAAGAGAAAATATGGTAACGGGATTTTTTCCCTCCACTTGCCTCATGATAGGGTCCTGTCCAACCCGACCAAGTAACTGAACACGATTCATGGCTGAAATGCGTAAATACATACACAGGTGAATCACGATGCTTCTAATCACAGCAAGTCATAAGTTGGCAACTTTTGTCAAGGGCCAGAACAATGACTTTCTGCACCTCCTAACCATTTTTCCACCTCTTGTGACCTTTGGCTTATTCAGGACCCGCAGATGGTTGACTGTACCTGTACTACTGTTGTCACTGCTGAATAAGCTCATTTAGAAAGCTAAAGTTTCTTTATTCTTTCTATTCCTTTGTCATCTTTTTCACAGATACATCCATATGTCACTTGAGACTATTTTGCATTTACTTATCTTGACTTTTATTTTTTTCATTATAATAAAACTGTAGCACTGCATTGCTTTGCCCTTAAAACTATACCTTTAAAACAACAAAGTTGCATTATTACACCCCATCCTCTGCATTAGAGGGTCACTAGTTTTCACACAGGTACCAGGACTAGGTGGACACAATTTATTCCTTTTCCTTGTTGAAGGACAACTGGAGGGAGGTCAGGGAAGCACCACTCTTGCACAAGGAGCAGGTAAACAGAATGGTAAAGCCTGAAGCATACACCTGAAGCAAATCATGGTGGGGCAACAGCACCCAAACAAGTCCCCCAGGCACATGGGAGTCTGAGAAACAAGCACACGAGACACCTAAAAGCAGGTATTGGAAAATATGACAACAGCACATCCGATTCACTGCCATGATAAAGCATGACTACCTGCCTTTTACAGGTTGTACTCCGTGTCAGGGCTTTTTTCTTTTCTCCCTTAAGGGCTGCTTGACTTGATAAAGACCAGATAGGAAGCTACTTGACTCTGTTTGTTTGAAACAACACCTTGTTAGTTACTGCATTCAGAAGCTACCATTCCCATCTGTTCCTCTCCTGGCATATTTCCATCATTCTAAAACCCAGATGAAAAACACAGAGTAAGAGCTAAGTTTCATCTCAGGAGCTACTTACATCTTTCGAGTACCAACGAGCCAACCGTATCAGACTCATGTCTTACAAACTGGCGAAGCACCTGAAGGAACACACAGGTGTTAGTTTCCAAGACACAAAGTATGAACAGTGTTCACATGCCTTTACACCTCATTTTCCAAACACTTACAGAGGTCTTGCAAGTACATTCTTCTCTGGTGACTTATGGGGGGACTAAGGGGAGAAATCTGTTCAGCTAAATGAAGCCAATGGGATTACTCAAACACTATTTGGTTGAAGTGGGGTTAAAAAGCTGCCTAAGAAAAAGCATGGCCTGAAGGTACATCTCTAGCAATTATTTTTGGGACATGCAGTAACTGCTGTTTTTATGTAATACGTAATGGGGAGGATGGTTTAATGGGGGAGGGGGGTGTTAGTTAGTCGGGCTTCAGTTTTTGGAAACAAACACAGTTTTGATAGTTGCATCAACTTTCTGCTTCACTACAGAGATTAACAAGATGTGCCCAAAATACACATCTATCTACCGCCATAAGCAGTATGATGCACTGATAACCCCTTGTTCCCAAGCAAACTGCGCATCAAGGCCACAAAATCCTGAGTGCTGCAGCTAAACATAAGTGAGAAAAAGGAAAGAAACTGACTTGATGCTGGCAAATATCACATCCTGGAAGAAAGGAGGAGAAAAGCAAAGCCCAGGAACACCTCTGCAAGAAGCCCATGCGCAGCAACTGGAAGAAAAGCTCATCTCTTATAACAAGTGGTTGCAAAACTTAAAGGAAGGTGGGACTGACAGTCCTAGGTTGAACAGAGGAGCTAAACAGAGGAAATGCAACTTGCAAAACGAGAGGTTTCTGGTATGCCTGTACGGTTCAGTGATGTATATGCAAATCATCCAAAACTCATTTCACGCATAAGCCGGATCTTTTAATACATCGCGTTTTCAGTGCTGTGGTAAAGGCACCAGCGGTTACGACTGGACCGTGCAGGAAAACCCACTGGCGGGTAGCAGAGCCCAGGCTCCGCGAAGACCCGCTCCGCCATCGCAGCGCTCCTCGGGCCCTTGCGGCCCCCCTGCGGGGGAGGGGGCAGCGGCTTCCCCGGCGGGAAGCGCGGTCCCGCGACGTATTTCAGAGGAGACGGCTGCCCGCAGAACGGCTGAGCAGTTCAGTCCCTCCTTAAGCATAGAGCAGACTTAACAAATAACATCAGAGTTTGTGTCGCCAGCGTTCAGTGGTTCACCACCACTTCTGATGACAAACGTGACTGGGTTTTCTGTGTGTTTTGGGGAATTTTGCACCCAACAGAACAAAATATCATGCTGCCTTTAGATGTTAAGAACAGACACAAGGACATGGAAGAGATCCCTGAGTCTGATGGTGGTAATTTTCTCCTGTTACTTCCCTAAGCTTTTGTTTGCCAACTCTTTGAGGGTGGGCTTTTACTTTGATGTTTTATTGTCTTTCAAATCACTAGTTTTACTTTTACCACCAGTAATTTTTGGAGTGCTTTGGAGGGAGGGGGGAAGGGAGAAAAAGGAGATGTAGTAATTGCGAATGTATTTGGTTAGATTATAAAGTCTCAAAGCTCATTAAAAATGAGAAACCATGGCAACCTCAACAATACATCCCACACATATTATACCTACCTAACAATGTGCAAAGTACATTTAGAAAAGAAAAATTAAGCATAAAGAAAAGGGAAAAAAAAGAAAAAAAAAAAAGTCACTCGTCGTAAGTAAAAAGGATTAAAATCTTTATTTGCAGGTTTCGCTTCGTAAAGGGTAGTATCTAACAGTTTAAAAGCCAGCACTGTCCAACAGTGGGAAAACAACCCCAACATTAAAAACTGAAAATAACCGAGTTACCAAGTTTACACTCTCCCGCCTAACAGCGCAGCGTTGGTGTCCCACTACCACAGCGGGACACAGCCGACACCCATCCAGGAATTACACTGAGCAGTGGGGGGGAGGGGGGAGATTTAACAAGCATTAAATATATACGACACTCTACACGGGCAACTCCAAAAAAAAAAAAAAATCCAAGAAAAAAATAAAAAGGGCTTCAAAATCCCTTTTCCGTTTCCCTCAGCTCGGCTGAGAGGCTGCAGTGGGCAGTTGCACCAGGTGTAGGATGCTGGAAGGGCGGTGGGCACGCAGACCCGCCTGCCAGCGCTCCGCAGTCACTCCCATTCCCCCCACACTTTAAGTAAGGAATAAAACAAGTCGATGGGCATAAAACAAGTCAGGCATCAGGGACTGGTCTGCAAAAGCTTAACCGCATCAGCTACGCGATACGGTGCTTGTTGCTGAAGGTTAAGGGAGGGAAGTTTTCCTTCAACATCTGTAAGTAAAGCCCCCTTAACCCAAAGTATTCCCTTTTACTCTTTGTCCCCTTCAGTGAAATGCCACTCCAGTTGCATCCCAAGTCCACCAGGACTGCTATGTAACCAGTCTGTCTCCTGATGTGTCATTAAAACCGTCTACCATAGTCTCCACCTCCTTACGTCTAGGAAGACCCAGCTGTAGATGCTGTCTCCGTGTACAGCCACTATCTTCCCTCTAAAGATACGCAGGTGGCCAGTGTTAAGGCCACAAAAACATCACCAATAATAGGGCCAAACTAAACGAAGAGGGAAGCACATAGAACAAATGCCATCTTTTCCCTTGTATGGCAGATAGAGCAAGTCTAGAACAAGACCAGTTACACAGGAAATTAAACAGGTAAAAGACTGAGGACAATCTTGAATCCCATGATCTGACACTTGTAAGCTAGTCATTCTTCCCTCAGCCAACATCTCATCATAACTAACGAGGGAACCAGAAACTATGACAGGGAGAGCTGATGTGGGGCATTGGTCTGTGCAGACCCTCTGCTTTCACAGGGCCATTCAGCAGCCAGAGCTTTTTGGACAACACTGAAATTCAGTAACCCAAAGTAAAGCTAAATGAGCGACAGCTTTTCCCTCCCACCAGGCGCTTGCCGTTCTGCTTAGAAGACGTTTCAGACTCTTGCAACTTGGCACTTCCTAAGGGCTGGTCCTTCATGAGGGTCTGGGCAAGGCGGGCTGCTTTAAGTTCCCTGCAGGGAGGGGATGGAAGGAAGAGGAGAGGAAGAAAACGATGTCATGCACGAATCCCCACCAGCTCCAGAAGAAAGCTCTGAACAATCTTGCACAAGAAGGTTACTGCAGTACTCCAGCACTGCTGGAGAGTGGTGACACGAAGATTACTGTAGGTTTCACTAGTTTCTACTTCAGAACAGATCAGCTTTGAAGGTTTACCAAAAGGAAACTACGCATCGGGTCAGCAACGCACACCTAGACTGGCACCAGTATGAGGACTCCCTAGCACAGTTTTCCCCCACCCCCATTGTTTCAGATATTTGTGAATGGTGGAACTTAGATCAGTACTATCTCATGCAACACAAATACCTAATAAAGGCACATGCTTTTTTCCCATTGTCTCTTTTCCCTGATGATTGCTGCTCTCCCGCCTACATGGAAAACCTATTCCCCAGCTCACTATTGCACTAAGAGGGCTGGTGGGGCAGTTCCTAGGTCCCAGCACCCCAAAACGTTACTGTCAACAGCAGTGAGAGGGAGCAAGGGGAAAGAGGATGTCTGCCACCACCTGATATTTCTCTTCCTTCTGTGCTAGACCACTACCTCAGTGCAGTATCAATTCCTCATCTGCCCAGTGGCTGCATATTGTATCAGTATTTTCCAGTCACCAGTGGTTGCAGAAAGCGTGCGTGTTCACCACTCTAATTTAGCCAACTCCTGAAAGCCAGAAGTGAACCACAGCTGCTTGGGCACTACAAGTCCCTACTACATCCCCCCATCACCCTCCCAGATCCTGGCACAGGAGCTGACTGGGTATTTCTGCACATTGGGGCTCCCAACACTGCCACCCTACATTCAATCCTGGTGACCAGCACTTCTTTTGCCCATGTCTTCTCCCCTTCACACCCAAGCCAGCTCTACCTTTCCAGCATGGCAGTCTTGCACTTCTCCACATTTAGCTGCTTCTGGAGCTGCACAGCTTTTCCACGTGAAGGACGGAGAACTGGATGTTTAGTAAGAGCTGTGGCAGAAGGTCTTTCCACTGGATCAGGATGGATCATGAGCTGGAAGGCAAAGGAGTTCTGGGTTTAACACCCCCTCTGCTACGTGCCAACTGGAAAAGCCTCCATCCTGTCAGGATTGTTTTCTCACCTTGAGGAGTTCAAGAAAGCAATGAGGAAGTTTCTGGGGGATCAGTGGGATATTGCCTTTGCGGATGTGGTGCCACATGGCCCCGTTGTGAGGCAGCGGTGCTGTGCCGGCTGCTAGAGCTACTGTGAGTGCCAGGGCAAAGATGTCTGCCTTGGGCAAATAACAGTATTGCTATGGAGAGAAGATAAACAGTTACAGAAAGGGAACATCTTGCTGTACTGAACAAAGGTAGGTTGGAATACCAGCTCAAAAAGAAACAGTCAAACAAGTATACATATGACACTGCCCTCACCATCACAGTTAGCTGTTTTCTCCTTGTTAGGATAGAAACACTGACAGCAGGTAATATTGGTTACTAATCGCACATTGGCTTTCACCCAGTCGTGAGGCGCTTGCAGCCCACATTAGGATCACAACAGCAAATCCAGAGGATGGCCTAACAAACGCACGCTTCCAGTCTTCACTACAAGACAATAAGCTAGCCATGCCCAAGTAAAACTAAAGACTCCATGTGATATATTGACCTAATAGTTCCTAAATCCACTTGCAGCACAAAAAGATGCTGTTCCTTAAATACCCAATTTGATGAACACATCCAAGCTGGTTGTTACATACCGATTTCCTTTTTTGTTCACTGGCCAGAGTGGCAAAACTACAGCCAGCTTAAGAGGTGTGTTGTGCCTCCCGCCTCTCCACGCTATACCTGATCACTGTTTGTTGTGCGAGGCATTTGTCTGGGTGCATATGTTCCCCAGTGATCACATCCAGCAGTTTAATCTCAGCTGGGTGTGTAACATGAAATGTCTCCAAACTGATAAAGGTCTTGTCCCATTCATCCCTTGCAGGTAGAAAAAGTTGCAATAATCTAAAGTTACTTATGAAGTACATTAAATATTTACATGACAATACCCACACCTATGCTATTCTTATTGAAGTGTTAATTTTGCCGATTTCACAGCCAGACCAGACACAAGAAAGAGGAGATGAGGCAAGGAATATGCCAAACTAATGATTTCACCACAGTTGATCTCTCCCCACGTGCTCACCACTCTGTTCTCCCCACCACCCCACTAGCAGCTGTACCTCTTGCAAAATCTCATTGGCCAAAAACCGTCTGTCTCCTTCCTCCACCTGGGGGTTTGTTATTGATGTCACATGGCCAAGGTCACCTGAGACAACAAACAAGCAACTAATGGAGCAAATGGATGTAGATCTCCTCCATCAATAAAAGCATACATTTTATAGGCATCAACAGAGCAATCAGAAAATACTGAGTAAGAGAGCAAGCCTGCTCCGACTCAGGAATCTGGGCCTGGAAACAAGCACATGAGTTTTCTACGACTTGTCTCCTTAGAGGAATTAATTCTGGTAAGTAGCAGAGGCATTAAGGACTACACTAGGAGTTTTGTATGCAAGTCTCCTCAGCCAGCAGGGCAGAGTAATATCGAGCTGTAACAAACAGCCCTAAATCTTACGCCAGTTGTAAAGTGGGCTAAAACCTACCGATCTTATACACCACACCAGAAGAGAATTCATCCTCACTGTCACTCTCTTCCTGCCCAGCAGGGCCTGCGACTGCCAGATTGTGACAGATGAAGATGTTACCTGCAAGACAGTGAAGTTTAGCAATAGCGTGATACCAGTAGCCAGACAACTTTGTCAAAATCCCACCGGTCAAGCTAGTTGAGCTTTGCAGCCAGAAAAACTATGCACAAGCTTCCCACCCAGCTCACTACAGCGATACAGCTGAATTTTGTGCATATTTTGTGCCCCTCCCTCAGCCCCCCCAAGCTGGAAGCATGATTTCAGAAAAAAAAAAAAAAAAAAGGAGCTCCACTATAAGGAGCCACTATGTGACTGGGGGGGAGCCCATCCTCAGCTGCAGAGAGGAAAGCTTGTTGCTATTTTTTGCAGGAACTTAATCCCTCAGGGTAGGTACAATAAATATTCACTTCTCACTCCAGCTCTCACATACAAAGGTCAAGTGTTGTGCAACAAGACCGCAGCAAATAAGGAAGTCCCAGTCTTCATTAGCAGACCTATTGCTCCACCAGTATGAAAGTGATTGCCCATCCTCAGCTGCAGAGAGGAAAGCTTGTTGCTATTTTTTGCAGGAACTTAATCCCTCAGGGTAGGTACAATAAATATTCACTTCTCACTCCAGCTCTCACATACAAAGGTCAAGTGTTGTGCAACAAGACCGCAGCAAATAAGGAAGTCCCAGTCTTCATTAGCAGACCTATTGCTCCACCAGTATGAAAGTGATTCCCACAAGCCAGGAATATGAAGATCATGAGACAGAAGCACTTCACTTCTGATAGCTGCCAACTATCAGAAAAAGCTCAGTTTTAGAGCAGCAGTAGTGCTCTAAAAAAAACCAAAAAACAAAAAAAACACACCAAACCCAAAACAAAAAACCCACACAAGATACCTTTTCGGACAAGGTCCTCTTTCCTTTGAAGCACTGTAATAGCTCCAGTCAGAAGGACCAGTTATAGGTCCTACCCCTGGAGAGTCACTTGGAGGACCCTCCACAAAGGAGGAGAGCGCTGTACTTACTCGGTTTGATATCCAGGTGCACAAGGCCAGAGTTGTGGATATATTTTAGCCCCATGGAGACTTGTAACAATATTTCTTTCAGCTCTGCTTCTGGGAAATACTGGCCAAGCTTTGCATTTTCCAGCAGCACGTCTTGGAGACTCCCACCTAGGTGAAAACAGTCAGTCTGAGACCTGAGGAAGATTTTAATGGAGCAGCATGTTTGAAATAGCTTAGTAGAAACAAGTGCCCAGAGCACTTGCAGGCTTGCTAGTGACAAACCCTGACCAGAGCAGCTATATATGCTCTAATGGTCAAACTTGGGCATCACCATTTGGCTTCAGCCTTTCCATTGCCTCAGGGCGCCCTGCCTCCTGCTTGCCAAGGACAGAGCAACTGCAGTTTTACCTACAGCAGCAGAAGGGCTGTCCCAGTAGTGATGCTGACACTGCTGCAAACGACCAGTTGAAAGTTAATTACTTTTGCCATGCTTACAGGCAGGAAGCAGGTATATGAATGGTGGAGCAAGGAAATTAAGCTCCCATTAGCAGATTTTTGATTGAAGAACGTAACATGACACAAACAGAGTTTTGTGGGTCTCCATTAAGGCACTCTGGCTATTTCAGCACTAGCAAATACCATGGCTTGTCTCCTCATTAGCCTGCTTTTCACCACTTCTCCTTTAGTCTCAGATGTTCAGCCACTAGAACTCAAGAAACACATCGATGCTGCAGCCATGGTCACCACGTTTCTTGATTACCTCCACCAGATTTGAAGGCATTACCACAAACAACTATCACCACGCATCACTGAGCCCCAAGACTGCAGGAGCAGTTGAAAGATGAGAGCTACATATTTGCCTTCAGCTCCTCTGGCAGCCAGAGCTATCTTTTCCAATGTCTCCCAAACAGTGGTGTGGCCAAGGGCAAACCCAAATAAGGGTGTACCACCCTGCCGGCAGCAGCCCATTTACAGGTTACCTCATTATTTGACTGTGTTCCTCTGTAGCTGTTGAGGCCTTTCTTCCAAGCCAAAATGCAAGATGCCTTTGTCTCAACCAAGTAGTCACTCTTCAAGTTATTACACCCCTTCATAAGAAGGGTTTGTTTCCAAGATACGTGGCACTTAAGTTAGCTGCTCTTGAGTCACTCATATCAGGTTTTACCTGGGCCGTCCCAGGCACAGGTCTAAGCATCAGCACGGGGAATACTTTACCAGGCCAGCCAACACAGAGGAACAGTTTTTAAATCCCACAAATTAGAGGGCATTCACTATTTGCAAGATATCAGTACCATTCAGATCTTTGTCTAACTATTATGAGCCCTTACTGGATTCCCCATGGAACTGTAGCCCCTGTGTAGTTGCTTTGTTTTAAGCCAAAACGCCCCATATTTAAGCACAAAAGAAGGTAACTGCATCCATCCTGAGATCTCAGCGTTTAACAACATCACAGCACTTACCATTGCAGTGTTCATTTTGGATAATCATGTGATCATCCTCTGCCCATGCCGAGTAGTAGCGTACAACATGAGGGTGGTGTCCAAGAACAGCATGAGCATAAACCTCGCGCAGCGCCAGCTGCCTAGAGAAGCACGCACAGAAAAAACAGTGGTGACAGGGTCCTGCTTGGGAGCACGAGAGGAGCCCTGGTTTGCAGCCTTACTTGAGAAAGGGAAAGCAGAGTGCTTAGGATTTTCTCTTGGGTTTTGGCAGACAGATGGGCTCCCACAGTTGCTGAAGCAAAACCTGCCCTTGCTCAAATGTGCTGAGCAGCTGTCAAACCCCCCCTGCACTGAGCAAGTCTTTTTTTTAAAGAGGCAAAGGCAGTTTCAAAGACTTTGCTTCAGCATGCAGGACACTAGCTGGTCAACACAGATGTGAGCAGTGCTGGCCGTACAGCAGGGCAGGGACATACCACAAATGAGCTATTTGACATTATTTTAAAGAGACTGGCTGCATGGACCCAAGAAGTTCAGGTAAGTTGTCATCTCCGCGTGTGATGCATGTGGCTTCTTCCCTTTCTCAGACACTTATATCCAATAGTCCTAAAGTGGTAACTTCCCCCACTCTCCCAAGTGTTACTTGAGTGCAACAGCAGCCAGTTTTTGCTCATGCCACCCCTCAGATACCTTTAGATCCACACTCCCTCCTTCCCCATCACACCTCCCAAGTACATGCCCATCATTTCAACTGGCAGTTTCTAGCTAGCACACTCACTCATCTGAGGATCCTGCCAGAGGCCTTTTGGAGCGTTTGATGGCATAAACACATCCATCAAGGCGTTTGATGCACTTGTAGACAGAGCCAAATTCTCCCACACCAATTTTTTCTAGTTCCAGGAACTCCTTCTTGTAGCGGGAAACCATATTGCTCTCTTTCAGAGGATATCTCTACAAGGTCACAAAAACAGCAAAGACAAGTATGAGCCGAAAGACTTGGATAACAACATCTGCGATATTTTCCAAGCTGCGTAGCATTCGCAGCTAAGGTTGCCAGCAGCAAGGACATTTTGCATCAGTTCAGGCTCCTGTCTGAATGGTTTGAAGCACCAGCTGTTGACTAATGGCAGATTAGCAGGTCTTGGCGTATCTGTTTGTATTCCGTGATTTCTCAGAGAGCCACTTTTCCACAAAGGGCTATGTATCTGTTTGTATTCCCAGTGATTTCTCACAGAGAGCCACTTTTCCACAAAGGGCTAAAAGCCTGCAGAACAGCTGGAACATCGTTATTGCTACAGTAATGGTCACTAGGGAAATAGGAGCTGCTGGTACTGCTTGTAGAGCCATGTCTACTGGCAGGGGAGACAAGTAAAGAAGAGAGAAGCAGTGGAGCATGAAGTGAACAACAAGAGTGGACTAAATGATTTTTCTTCATCCTCCTGCCTCCTCTACAGGGACAGTGGCTCATGTTGCATGGTGGTTTCCACACAAACCACTGCTGTGATTGCTGTAGTATATGCTGTATGACCCTAAAGAGCAGGGATAAAGAGTTGGTCCTCACAGGCAGTAAGGCTTGGCCCATATGAAACAGCAGCCCTTCATAACAGGTCATATTTCGTAAGGTAGCTGTATTTTACTGCATTTTAAAACACTCAGGGAATAAAGATACCTCCTAGTACACAATTTTATACCTAATTTACGTACTCAATCAAGTCAGCACTCAAGCAGAATAATATTTCATTAAGTGACAAGTTATTCGAGGCCTTCTAAGGAAAACAGTAATTGTGGTAACACTGGGTGTTACCTGGTAGCAGATAGACTCCGCAGCTATAGTTTTTCCATGCAGACCAGTTTTTCTGCAATACCAGTCTCCTCAGCTAGAGGGTACTGGTATTCTTCCAGTAAGCCTAATTATGTCACAGTTACAATGAACAATTCTACCTACTTGCACAAGACAAGATACTTCCTTCGAGGGGCTGCTCAGCAAATTGGAGATTTTAACTCATCTGAACACATATATTCAATTCAGGCTTGGCTTGCTTTCCAGAAGCCAGCTAGATGAATAGCTTCCCCCCAGACGAAACTGGGGAAAAGGACACAGGCTCCCACACCAGCTGCCCAGTTCTGCCAGCGCAGCAGTGGGTACGAGACCTCACAACTTGCCCCATGCAGCCAAGGCCAACACTCCCCACCGCTGAGGTTTGCCAGCAAAGCATGGCCATCGGCAACAGCAAGAGAACTTGGTTTTGAGCCGTAAGACAGTGCTTGCTGTCCTGTAGCTACATAAGCTGTGGTGGGTCCTTCCGTTGGACCCCAAGGCACACAGACACCCCCCGGCTGGACATTTTCCTACTGAAGGAGAGTACAGAATTTGCTGCCTTGCTTCAGAAGTTTGCCATCGCGACTACTGCAACTGAAACTCTGCCCTCAGTACTCATCCATGTCAGAGCCGTTCAGCTCAGTCTTTGTGGTTTTGCAGTGCAGGTCCGTATATTATTTGCAATATAGAAGCCATGTTCCGTTCACATCCAAAAATGCTCAGTACACCGATTCATAGGAACAGCAACACGTGCTTTTTCCAACCACAAAAGTACAGTCACTATTTATGCAAACTCAGTAATATAGTAATATAGTCCCCCTGAGGAACCCAAATTATATTCTATCTCCTAGAAAGACCTGCTGACCAAAAATCAATGAGGTTCAGGATTACTCGTCAGAGTTTCAGGTCTGCTTTAGTACAAGTTTCCTTTAGAGACAGGAATAATTTCAGAGTTTGTTGTCTCAAAAAAATGTTAACATAAAACATTCAGCTTGGAATTATTCTGTCATAGGTATTCATCCTCTGTCATGATGCCATAATTTATACTCCAATAGAAGAATGAATTTCATCAAGAAATCTTTACAAGCATCTTATCCTCTCTGCAGAGGGAAATACAGACTCACCTTTGTAGGTAGCTCCTGTTTTATCTGGCTTCTTGGATCAGGATCCCTCCTATAACAAAAGTTTAGGAAATTCTGGATGTATCATTTAGGTGCAGCAATCCAACTGAGATTTGGAATAAAAACATTTTTCAAAAGAATCTTCAAACCTTGCTTTACAGTTTAATTAAAGATGCATTTTGTGCAGTGTTAATATACAATGAGTTTCCAGTTGAGGCCTTAAAGACTGTAGCCCAGGGCTAGGAAGTCTTTGTTTCCATTATAAAGCCTCCATGTACCAACTAGTACCATCATTCAGGGGTATCATTCCCCTGGCCACTGTATTTTAACCACATCCTGGGCTGCATGAGAAGTGCGGCCAGCAGGTCAAGTGAGATGATTCTGCCCCTCTACTCTACCCTGGTGAGACCCCACCTGGAGTACTGCACCCAGCTCTGGAGCCCCCAACATAGGAAAGACATGGACCTGTTGGATCAGGTCCAGAGGAGGGCCACAAAAATGATCAGAGGGCTGAAGCACCTCTCCTATGAAGACAGGCTGAGAGAGTTGGGGTTGTCCATCCTGGAGAAGGGAAGGCTCCAGGGAGACCTTTTCGCAGCTTCCCAGTACCTAAAGGGGGCCTACAGGAAAGATGGGGAGGGACTCTTTATCAGGGAGTGTAGTGATAGGACGAGGGGTAACAGTTTTAAACTCAAAGAGGGTAGGTTTAGAATAGATATTAGGAAGAAGTTTTTCACTCTGAGGGTGGTGAGACACTGGAACAGGTTGCCCAGAGAAGCTGTAGATGCCCCATCCCTGGAGGTGTTCAAGGCCAGGCTGGATGGGGCTTTGAGCAACCTGGTCTAGTGGGAGGTGTCCCTGCCCATGGCATGGGGGTTGGAACTAGACGATCTTCAAGTTCCCTTCCAACCTAAACCATTCTATGATTCCATGATTATTACTGGTGAAGCTACGTGGGAGATGACCTTGCACAACAAGTTCCTAGTGAGGGACAGAACTGCCCCACTGTGCTTTCAAGAGGCATACCCAGCTGAGCATCTATTACAGTTGGGGCTATGCAAGAACCTGAATGTCATTGTAGTGCAAAGGTATTTGATTAAATTTGTGTCTTGGTTAACCCAGATCAGATCCAGAACTTTTGCAGGTCAGCAGTAGCCTACATCCATCTTAAAAGCTGTATTACATGCAAACACACACATAATTTCTTCCAAGTTGTGTGTATGCGCATAACTGAATCAAGCTCCACTCTAGTCATGGTCAAGAAAGAAAGAGGTAGTTTTCTCCTACAGCCATAGCATTGAGGTTAGCTCTTGATCCCTCACTTGCATTTCTGAACAAAGGAAATGATTGATTTTTATTTACATTTCTATCACCTTCGTATGTCTGCTAATGTTTGTTCTGCACCAGTGAATACTATGGAAGTGGACGATTCCTTGTTAGCAAATAAGTCCAGGTATTAAATGTCTCCATCATTACTTATCTCCTTCAAACAGTCTCCTTCCAGCCTCTTATTTAAGAGTACTTCACTTACAGCTCTCCTCTGGTCTTCTGCTTGCCATCAGGAAGAAAGAGCATTTGTCGATACGACTCTGGTGTAAAGGGATTAATGTTGACAAGAGAAGCTTGGGTAGAGTCATCCGAGTCAGCCCCAGGAGTAAATCTCAGATGTCGGAAGCCTTTGGGTGGGACTTTTGCCCCAGGTGAAGGAAAAGCTGTCTTTGATAACAGGCTCTGTATTAAGAAAAAAATAATAATAATAAAAAAAAAAAAATCAGCAGATAAGCCAGCAAAATGTCTTTGTTGCTATGTCAGAATAAAATCTCTGCTGTCCCGCAAATCAAGAACTCGGCTCCCTTCCTCAAGGTAGCTGAATCATTAAAACCCTGCATCCCAAATTTGGTCCCGACAGTTTTCTTTTCCTTCTGCAAAGTATTACAGTCTTTGCTAAGCCCTTTCAGACTTTATTCCCTGCTGACTTGGGTGAGGCCTGCAGAGCTATTTTGACAAGCACAGTCCTCAAGAGGAGCCAGCTACTCATCTTTTCCACCTACAGAGACAGAGGAATTGCATCATATGTTGCATTAGCATGGAAGACCCAGTTCTGCAAAGCATGGGCTGTTGCATCAGTTTGGTCAGGACAGGTTTGGCAGGAGATGAAACAGAACATCACCCAAGTTTCCTTTTGGTTCCCCAGCAATAAAGAGCATTAGTATAGGGAAAGTTGGTAGAAATATTTTTATACGGCTACTGGCAAAGTGACCAGAAAACAGTTCTCCTTGAGAAGGAAAACCAGAGTTTCAGAGATTTAAGTTCAGAAGGAACCTCTGGATCTTCTGTAGTTCAGCTTCCCAAAGAAGACGGGCCATTGGGTTTCACCTACTAGCCCAAAGCCTTGGGCTGAGTAAAGCATAACTAGAGAAGCACCCAGTCTTGATCTGAAGACAGAAAAATCTGCTTACTTTCCATGATGTGACCCCTTCAGCAACCACCAGCTTTTTTAAACATAAGTTTGGGTTTGACTTGTTTCAGCTTCAAGAGAGTGTTGTAAGGTCTAAAGGGGTTTTTAGCAAATCTCTTTCTTCTAGTTAAAAGCCCCTCAAGAACCCAGAACTCTTCCTCTCATGAAGATCAAGATATTTCTGTGTCTTTTTGATCTAACAGTGGTCTCACCCTTGTGAGTGAAGATGTGTCCCCAGGATCATATCTAGAGTTCCTCCCTTCTGTCATTGAAAGTTTTTCAAGATAAAAAACCTAGAGCTGCATGCAGTATCCTGCATCCACCTACTTGATGCTACATTCGTGAATATAGCTATTTCTGGGACATCCCTCTATTTCTATACCATACTTGGAAGTTCAGATACTGGTTTACTATGACCCTGAAAGTGCTTCTTGATCACTTTTGCAAGCTCCGATCTGCATCTCCTTGCTGTCAGGTGGAAGAGTTCTGCATATGGATGTATTAAAAAGAGTGTATGTCTAAGCCAAATTTACCCAGTAGCCTAGAAGTTCTGCAGAATTGTGGCTATGTTCTAGTGTAGCCACGATTCAAGAAAGGGGTCTAAAATACCATTGCAGCCTGCTGTTGTATGCATGCAATTCCCATCTGCTCGACTGAGGCTCCATTTTGTAATCGAGCAGACTTGTCTCCTGTAACATCATCTGAGATTAGCTGTTGCCATACAGTGGAAGTAAGACAGCTACCGTAACTAGCTGTAGCAATCTGTTCCGGGATTGGATAAGTCTACAAAACACAATCATCTGCCTCCTCTGCCGTGCATCCTAGCTGGGACTTCAGTGCTCATCTGTGGCTCTGCTCTCTTACCCTTTCGCTCACCTTCAAATGTTCCAAGACAGCAAAGGAAAATAAATTGTTGATTTAGTGCAATTGCTGCTCATGGACTACAAGGTGACAAACCACAGGCAGCATGTCTTGAAGCATCCAGCCAACATGTTATCTACACAAGAGCACACAGTGAAGCACCCTGCACTACCAGTAGCCCATCTGGTCTGGAAGAGATTCTAGACCTCCCACCCATTTTCAGATGAGATTCAGGGAGATTTCTTATAAAGGGTTATTGCAGAAAATTCTTGGAGTGATGCCATTTAGAGCCGCTTTCCTCTACAGAGCAGCAAGCCATGCCTCTGTAACTATGGCCACAGAGTTCATCATATGTGATCAAGGGATCATCCTTCTCTCCACATAATCAGGCTCCTGGAACAGGACAGGGGGCAAACAAATCCTAGCTCAGGAGCACTAAAAGGACTGATGTTTTGCGTACCATGTAAGCAAAAGAGCAACCAGCCTATCAGTAGTGCAGGAATATTAAGAGAGGACCAAGAGAGCTACATTTAATTGAAAGTCTTGAATACTAGAAGCCAGTGCACACAACAGAAGTTATCGAGGAACAGAGAAGCTGGCACCAAGTCTCCACTTGCACTTACAGAAGACAAAAAAGCAGGTGTATTATATTCTGTGCAAGATGTTTCACAGTAAACAGGGCCTGGGATCATCCTCCCAAGAAACTATCTCAGTAGATAAGTTACATTTTATGACAGTGAGTGAGGAAGACAGGCTAACCTTCCTCCACAAGCACCCATTGATTTGTTACCCCTTCCACAAGGGATTTGCTATGGTGAGAACAAAGTCCCGCTTTCCCCGAATTAACCGAGCAGCTCAGTTTCACACAAAAAAGAGAATCTGCATCACTGGACAACAAGCTGATTGGAGGTGATCCAGACTTGCCAGACAAAGTGTACCCCAGCCACAACAGCATTTCCAACTTTCTCTTTCAAGAGAAAACCCGCTTGCATTCAAGAGTGTGCTGAACAGAGCAGTCAGGGCAGCTGCCTGCCTCCAAGCTCCCCCTGGAATGATGAGCTCCTTGAGGAGAGATGCATTTATCCCTCTAGGACAACAGTGCACGCTTCCTACGGAGATTCTACAGATGTTCACTCCCCTAAGCAGAGGGTGAGGGGCACATGGGCAGCAGAGGCACATGGTTGCTTGTTTTTTCAAGTCAGACTAGCCCAACACCAACTAATTGCTTTTAACAGCAGCTTGCAAAGAGTCAAGACACTTGCTCCCCCACACAAATTTCTAGTCACGCTCACAGAATAACCCTTCCACAGCTAAGAAGCTCACGGTCCAGGTTTCTACGGGAAGAGTAAACATTAACAGTAACATCAAATAATGCTTTCCACAGAACTAACAACAGATCCCCTCACCAGCCCTCGCAGCGATGCCGCGGACCCTGCCTGCCCAGACACAGGGGTGATGCACGCCATTACCTTGGGAGTGTACGGGGTGTCACACAGCTGCAGCTTTTTCCAGGTGATGTGCAGCGGTGTCTCGGCATTACGCCGGCTCTTGCTCACAGCTGGGGAAGACTTCAGGGTGGGACTCACCCAGGCTTTTGTCCTGCTCAGGAAGATCTCATTAAGCTTTCTCTGAGGGGTTGCTAGCAGAGGACTGCTCCCTTGCCACTTCTGGAACTCAAAGCTGCTGGGGGGGCTCGAGCTCAGAGAGTCCTCCTCATTTACACTTCTGTCTTCACTCTCTTCACCACAACTGGAAAAATCCAGTCGCTGAATGAATTCATTGCTGTTGTCCCAGTTATCCATTTCACCATATGAAAAAGAACAGGTACAGCTGATACTGGCCTGCTTTGTTAGACGGAGAAGGGCAGAAGGAGAGGAAGATAGTATTATTTACACAGGCAGACTAACCACCCTCTACCTTGCCTTATCAAAGGCATTAGTTCTACACACCGCATGTGCTCCACCACCCTGATCCCACACACACAAAAGCACTGATCACTCAGAGATGCGATTTGATGGCGTTGGTTAAGGAAGAGCACCCCAGAATTAGCAAATACAAATCCATTCAGTTACTTCTTCATGTAACAACAACAGATTCTGCTTTTCACCTTGTTAGTGAAAGTCAGATACAACTCAGAAGTCACTGCCTTTCCCATTAAGCCTCCAAGGCAACTTCTCCACCCACCAGTACTTCATCCCCTACTCTCATCACACATCAAAACAGAGCTATCAAATCCTAAAGAACAGCACACGCCAGCCCTCCTCTCATCCTTTCTACCTTAGATTCCTCAATCAGAGAAAAAGAACCCAAGCTACATACAGCTGTAAAAGCAGAGGGTGCCCCAAGCAGTTACCAGATGCCCTACAGACAACACTTCTCCTGCCCTGGGGTATTTATAACCACCCCACACACCTGGGCCACAGCTAATGGGATGAATCTGGAGCTCGGCAGCACCTGTGCACAGCAGCCTGTTGCCGAGGAAAGTTGGTGGCTGAGGGGTTTGGCTGCGGATGTGGATTTGCTGTGCCTGCAACCAGCTCTGCAGGGAGCCAGGGCTCCCTCTGAGTCATCTCCTTGCTTCTGCAACGCTCTTCGCTCCTCCCGCTTCCCAGGGCCTCCAGGGAGGTGACGTTTGATGACAGTCAGTCTGCTCCATGTTAATCCCATCAGAGATGCGATCTTTGTGGGCTTTACTAGTATAAGGAATTAGGTTTTTTATAACGGGGCCCTGCGTGCTCCTCTTTTAAGTCTGAATTTCTCTTCCTGCATTTAGATGTCCATTAGTTTGGACAAGCATTGCAGCCTGCACGGAGAGGTTAGTAGCCTACTTTGCCGCGCGAGAGACTTGAGGAGAGAGTTCGGGACTGTATACACAGTTCCCATCTTGAGGTTTCAAGGGAAAGGAGGGAGAAGCTCGCTGCATCGGTGAAGGTGGCCCCACAGGAAGGGTGGCTCTACCGCTCAGCAGGAGTGGGTCACTCTCACTCTCTGTCACTCTCTGTCTCCTCTCACTGTGCCTCTCTGTAAAAAACGGGGATCTTTCCATGCCTTTGTGAGCCTGCGTTGCAAAGACGGACCAGAGTGAGCTCTATCTAACTGGGAAGAAGGTTACGACGGCCTTTTTTCTCAGCATCAGGGACAGCTGCTAGAAGGACATGCAGAAATTGGAAGTTGACGCGACTCAAAGGAGATGGGGGTTTGTCAGAACCGATGCGTGCTTTCCCATGCATGTGTCGAGGGGAATTCCCAACAGAAAACAAAGGGACATGTCAATCTGAGGTCACTCAGCCCTCCTAACCTGGTCTTTGAATGCAAATTATGGCCATACAGGTCTTTGAAGTTGCCTGTTAAGACTGTGACTAGCAACCTCTTTGGCCACAGGTCACCAAAGCTCTATTAGGAGGACATGCCAGGAACGCAGTATTGGTTTTACTGCTGCATCTGGCTCAGAGGTTGTAGCATTTCTTCCAGGCACAGAGCCTGTTGCTGCCGTGCAGACTCCCTTCTCCTGCAACGCAGCTGCTGCGTCTCCCTGCGCCTTACCTTGAGCGAGGTCCAAAAGCCTGGGAGTGCCAGCGCGGGCTGCTTTTTGCTATGAAAAGCTGTCTCTTCAGCATCTGGCCAGCTGAGCTCCAATGACAGGACCACTTTAGTACAGCTGGGATCTGACTGTATTAATCAGATGTTCAGTACTCGGAGCCTTGGATAGGAATATTTTATTTTAAATCTGAAGAAATAATGCTTTTAGTCTCCATAAGTACACAAATACATTTTTATTAATAACCCAGCAATGAAACTCCTTCAGACCACAGTTTTCAATCCCATCTGAAATGTGTTTTTTTCTTTTTTTTTTTTTTTCCCCTCAGGGTTTATAGGGAGAATCCATTTTTCTAAAGAGGAATGTGATACGTAAAGGAGAAAAGTTGGGCTTGCTGCGTAAAGAAGGCCCAACTTGTTCATCTTGCATCTTCTAACTAAAAGCCACTACATTTTAATTTTGTATTTTTTTCTGGAGCACTGCTCAGAGATCTGATAATTTTCTTAGCCCTCATTTGGAGGGAAAATGTGTTCCTTTTCTTTTGAAGGAGAGTTTTTTCTCCTAAGAGGGTCATATTCTCTCCTGGCCTAGGTCTTTTCGATTTTGGTGAAATAATAAAGTAGAAAACACGGCCTTTGGTTTTTGCACTTATTTAAAAAACAGTGTTCCCTCAGCAGGCCCAGATTGCTGGCCAAAGCAGTGTAAATAGCTCCGGAGCCACTGGATCTCTTGTCACACGAGGGCTTTTTCACCAGAAGCCGAGAGCTCGGCGTGTGATGACATTTCGCATATCGCAGAGCCAGCGCTGGCAGCTTCTGCTCCCCTTCGCCGGCTGCTCTCCTCTCTGCATCCTCTCCCTCGTGCTGGGGCAACGCTGGTGTCACCACACAGCAGAGGGGACCAGGAATGGCTCTGCACCACAAATAGCCATGAGGGTGGCAGAGGAATTTTTATTCAGAATTTGTTTCCCCCGCTTGGAACACTGGGGGACAGACTGACACTCGTGCCAGCACCACTGCAGGGATGAAGGAGAGGAGAGAAACAAGCTGTCACTTTAGCATCACTGACACCCAAAAAAATACTCATCAAAATGAAGCTTGGCACTGTCTATATGGTTAAGGCGAAGCATGGTGCCAAGTATTTGCAAAATCTGGCTTTTCTTTATACAGTAACAAAATATTGTGCAGGGTTTGTTTTTTTTTTTTTCTTCACCAGTCACCTTCCACAAAAAACTCCATCTGCTAAACACCACCTACTGCAGTGTATAGCTCTGCAAAGTAAACTTGTGCATAGGCCTTGTGAAACAAAATGCCCACTCGGTGTTGGGAGTTCTCTGAAATGAAGCTCAAGCAAATGGACACTAATGTTACCAAAAAAAGAGGAAAAAACCCCAAACCTCACTGTTCAGGAAACTGGATGCTGAGTTTCTTAGTGGCGTATTGAACACTCAAAGCTGCTCAACAGGAAAAAACTTAGACAATTAAGGCTCTTATGGCAGTATCTTCGCTTTAATTGTGGCCTGCTTAATTGGGTAATCCAATTAATCAGAAAGTCCTAGGGAACCAAGTTAAACCTAATGACACTGAATTACATTGGTGGTAGCGTAACGAGGATGGTAATTACACAAAAGTTGGCTGCCTGTGCATGCCTTGGTCACGCCTGTGTCTCCATCTTTCAACCTCAAGCTGATTCTGCCTACTCCCCTGAAAACTTTCACATCTTCCTATAGCGCATACATATATGTATATATATACACACACCCCCCAGTATATACTGGATCAGTACAACTGACTCTTTCAGATTTGTCGCTTGCAGCTTCCACCGCAGCGATTTGGGCGTGTGGGACACTGCCCCATTGCTGGCCCTGAGGCTGCTCTGCTCAACTCCCTGGGCTCACCCAGTAGGACCAGCTGGACAGAGCTCCCCCTTAGCCTTCCTGCTCACAAAGGCACCTGGTCTAAATTGGGGTCTCCAGCTGGAGGGGACACACACACACAAAAGGCAGGCAGCCAGCTCTGCCCTCCGGGAGGAGGTGAACGACGGGGAGGCAGGTGCCTCATCCTAGGGAGCCCCCGGTACTCCCGCGCTCCTCTGGGAGCTGGCACAGGAGAGCGCAGGAGCCGGGAGCCCCCGCCAGGCTACCCCTGGGGCA